AGTGAAATCGCCATGCATGAGTTTCCTCTGGAAGTCACGTAAGCAGATTTTTTTTAAAGAATTAAACGAAGAACGCGTCTTTGAATAAGGTAAAGATGCATATTTTAGCTAAGGGATTAAATAAAAAGAGCAATTTAGGCATGATTGACCAGACAAAAGCTGAAATGGATCGCTCACCTTGGAGTACAATACATCCTTCAGATCGTTTACAGACAGGAGGACGCTCAGGCTAAGAAGAGTGAAATGAATGATTCAGGATTTTACACACAAATTCTTGAAGAGGGCATCTGGTAGAGTGTCAGCAAAACAAATATTGAAGAAGTATTGCCAACAAAGACTGTACGGATTAAATGGCCTCTTGTGGTTCAGATGCCAGTAGAGAGTGGGAAAACTGAGGCTCGAAAGAGCAGACTACTTGGTAATTGAGCACTGGTTCGGGTGCAGACGAGCAACAAGCCAAAGTTCCTTGAATGACCACCCAATGGCAGAAATCCCATCGCCCAAGTGTCTTACGGGATTCGTCGTTAACGGGAAACGGAAGAGTGGGGCACAACAAGGGCCGTGTAAGTGCGTGATAATTGCGCAATAAGGATCAAAATTAAAGCCGCTTGTATTTGTTTTAGTGAACTAAAGCGTACGTGAAAAGGTTGCGAAGGACATAAAAGACCGAAAGCAAAGCCTATAGACCAAGAAAACTATTACAAGGACGCCTATTGATTAACATAAGCAAGGAGGTGTTTGGATAAGCGGAAGTTAGGGCTACTGAATAGCTGGAAGAAGGTTTTACTTATTGAAGCCTCCCTGGAGGCGGCCATACGAGGAACTCACACCCAGAAAATTCATGATGACATTTCAGTCAGTGTTTCAGGAGTTTCGCCACTTATTGCATCTACAAACACACAAAAACTCCTTCTAGTCTCAAACTATAAGGCGCTTTCACAATCGCCGACCCCCTCTGAGTGGAAGTAGTGAGAAACAACCGTTCCACAGTCCATGCACTTATGACTCCCAACGAATCAGGATAAACAACATACAGCTACGCCTTTTTCAACGGGTGAACTAATAAGATCACACACTGAGCAGTAATAAAAAAAGAGGGCATGAATTGTCGTGATACAACTGCGAACAGGAATTTTACGAGACTGTGATGAGTTACCAACCATCCTAAAAGATTGCATAAAGGTGTGGAGTGGAGCGTCGGTAACGCAAAAACAGCAAAATGGAAGCACCAGGAGGCAACAGAAACAATAATATGCTTACAAATGAGCCCTCTTCTGGGAATCTTCAATGGTCTTAGCCATTTCTTCGATCTTCAACTCGACCGATTTTCCATTTGCCTCGGCAGCATACCCCAGCTGGAGAAGTCTGTTTCCAACAACATTGAAGAAACCGGAATCATTGGGCAGGTCATTCGATCTATCCTAAAAGCAGGAAATCAAAAATGAGACACGTGGCATATCTTGCCAATTAATTTCAACAGATATAAACGGCGTAAAAAAGAGGCCTAAAAAGGCACCGCAGTTTATTAGGCATGAAGAGACCTCCCTAAAATGGGTTCAGTAAGAAATGACTGGTTACGACAACGCCACTAAAATAAGGCTAAAAATGGGAAGAGTGTATGCATTTAATATCTGCTGCATTGCGTGACTGGCGGTTCAATCGTCAGTTCCGACTGCGTCCACAGTGTGTCCTACAATAGGGACGGTGACTTGCACGTGGATTATTTGAGAGACCTAGTAGGTTTGTGCAGTACCCACCAATGACATGGCGCAATCAAGGAAACACCGGAAGCAGAAGAGGACGCAAGTGGCTGGGACTGCGTGAGCCTGCATCCAGGTTTGCCACAACACCCGCCGTAGTTCTGGTGGGCGTCGCATAATTCCCAAACCGCAATTGCCGAAGGGCATGATTGCCAAAGGCACAACATTACCTTTAGTGGGCATTAACATAAAAATTGACGCAACCACAACGTTAACTACCTATTTTTACCATAAAAAGAGTGGGGGATAACGCAGGGTCGGCTTGC